AAAGAAAACGGCGAGCGGCCCGCGGCTGTCTTCTCCCCCTCCCGGAAAACTCACCAGGGAGGGGGCAGATCCTCCAGCTCCTCGGGGGTCTCCCCTCTGGCTCCTTCGGGGGTCTCCGAAGCCCCCCCTCTACCCTTCTTCCACTCCATTTGTGTGGAGCTAAAGGGCAGCGTCCATCTTGCAGACATGCGCAGTATAATACTTCCCAATATAGCCTATAGACCTGGGATTTCTGGGGGTTTCCCATAAAGCCCTTCCAATTTCTGATCCCGCTTCGCTTTGTCAAGATCAGCCAAGATGACTTAGCTGGTGATATCTACAATCTGATTAAAGCAGAGAAGAGAACTATACTATAGTCCAGTGAGGGCGAACCTTTTAGAGACTGAGTGCCCCAAAATTGGGCCCGCCCTGCCCCCCACCTGCCCCTGCTCTGCCCCTGTCCTGCCCGTTCCCATCCCACCTGCCCGTAGGGTCACTCACCGCCTCCACGGCCCACCACAGATTGCCCAGGCGGCCCAGCAGTGCCGTGGTAGCCACGCCCTCTGCCTGCACCTCGCAGCATCAACTATATGCAACGGGGTGCTAGGGTGGAGTCTTGTTCCCGCTGCCCGGCTGCCATGTCCTTGGCTGCACTGTTCCACGTGGGCCACACTAGGGGGCAACTCTCCTCTGGAAGGGGTGCTGGTGAGGAGGGGCCACTGGGGAAGGCGGGGCTGGGGTGACGGTGCGCATGCCCACAGAGAGGGTTCTGAGTGCCGCCTCTGGTACGCGTGCCGTAGGTTCGCCACCACTGCGTATAGTCCAACACATTCATCAAATAATAGATGCAGCGATTTGCAAAAAACCCAAAGGAACCGTCCTCAGCAGCTGCCAAGCATCTGCAACCTTGAAAATAATCCAAAGTTGTTTTCATTTTACCCAGATTCGGAATCTGAGCATCATGGTGAATGGACTGGAACAGTTGGATAAGAATAACATCCTTGCGGTTCGCCGAGAAGTCGCAATCCTGCGGGCTAAATTGCAAGAGTGTGAACAGGATCGAAACGAGACTGTCCAAAATCCCTACTTCCCACCTGGTAAAGTGTTTTTTTTTAAAAAATTTTTAAATGGAAAATGTTAGGAGCAGGGAGGGGATCCAGGAAAGGAAGTTGGCCCAGTTTCCTTGCTCAGAGTGCCTAGTAAATATCAACAAAGGATAGTTTCTTAAATCCATAGGAAGTGATTTAAGGATCTGTATTATGATGTTCAAACCGGTCAGTCCTAGAGGAGATCAACCCTGACTGCTCTTTAGAAGGCCAGATCCTGAAGTTGAAACTCAAGTACTTTGGCCACCTAATGAGAAGGAAGGACTCACTGGAGAAGAGCCTGATGCTGGGAAAGATGGAGGGCAAGAGAAGAAGGGGATGACAGAGAATGAGGGGGCTGGAAGGAGTCACTGAAGCAGGAGGCGTGAGCTTCAGTGGACTCCAGAAGATGGTAGAGGACAGGAAGGCCTGGAGGAACGTTGTCCATGGGGTTGTGATGGATCAGACACGACTTCGCATCTAACAACAACAAATTATGATGTTGCTCTAAACCCATCGATTCAAGCCATGATCTTCTCCAGGTTGTCCTGCAGTGATTGAGAAAAAGAAACATTAGAGATCAGAATAGAATAACAGATTTGGAAGGCATCTTGAAGGTCTTCTAGTCCAACAACCTGCTCAAGGTTGTTGGACTACATCATTTCAGACAGATAGTTGTCCAATCTCTTCTTAAAAACTTCCAGTGTTGGAGCATCCACAACTTCTGTAGGCAAGATGTTCTATTGAATATTTGTTCTCACTGTCAGGAAGTTTCTCCTTAGTTCTAGGTTGCTTCTCTCCTTGATTAGTTTCCATCCGTTGCTTCTTGTCCTGCCTTCAGGCGCTTTGGAGAATAGCTTGACTCCCTCTTCTTTGAGGCAGCCCCTGAGATATTGGAACATTGGCTATCATGTCACACCTAGATCTCCTTTTCATTAAACTAGAAATACCCAATCAATAGGTTTGGTGAAACAGAGCTTCTGCCAGTCTGTCTACTTCTTGGCATGTTGAAATTCAGAATTTGGTACCAACATGGTCCTTGGTTATAATGATTAGGCAATTGACAGCATGTCTATAAATACTAATACTAATAGTAATACTGATACTGATACTGATAAAGTTTGAAGGGACCTTGGAGGTCATCTAGTCCAACCCCCTGCTCAGGCAGGAAACCCTATACCATTCCAGGTAAATGGCAGTCCAGTCTCTTCTTAAAAACCTCCAGTGTTGGAGCATTCACCGCTTCTGGAGGGAGGTTGTTCTCATTGTCAGGAAATTCCTCCTTAGTTCTAGGTTGCTTTTCTCCTTGATCAATTTCCTTCCCTTGCTTCTTGTCCTGCCTTCAGGTGCTTTGGAGAATAGCTTGACTCCCTCTTCTTTGGGGCAGCCCCTGAGATATTGGAACACTGCTATCATGTCCCCCCTCGTCCTTCTCTTCATTAAACTAGACATGCCCAATTCCAGCAACCGTTCCTTATATGTTTTAGCCTCCAGTCCCCTGATCATCTTTGTTGCTCTTCTCTGCACCCTTTCTAGAGTTTCAACATCTTTTTGACATCGTGGTGACCAAAACTGGTCACTGATCCAAGCGTGGCCTTACCAAGGCCTTGTTGCCAGATTAAAGTTGCCTATGGGTGGCTATATAAATTGAATTAACAAATTAACAAGTAATAAAAAAATAAACCTCAACAAAATCCAAAGCGCAGATTAGAACCAAGAAAAAGAATGAAATTGACAGGCACATTACGTCAGAAAATCATCCGGCATAAAAGCCATTTAAAAAAGGCTGAATAAACAAATCCAGTCAGCGCTGAATTGAGGTGTTCCATTTTTCCAACATGGCTCCCAGCCTGAAAAAACTTGAAGTTATATATGGGCCTCCTGACACTAATAGGTATTGACAGGCTATTTCCTTTATGAATTTGTTTCATCTGCTTTTAAAGCTATTAAAGTCAGCTATTATTCCTTCTTTTGGAAGCGAATACTGTAATGTATTTGCTGTATGTGCGATGAAGTCGTTCCTTTTGTCTTTCCCAAATCAACAACCATTTAGCAACACTGGATGACCCTGGATGTTGCTATTGTGACAAAGGCATCATTAAAAAACAGCCTTCCTCTCTCTTATTTTTTTCCCCCCTCGACATGATGCACAATTTTATACATCTCTATCAAGTCGTCTCTTAGACGCACTCTTTTTTTTACTCAGCTTAAAAGTGCCACTGGTGGTAACCCTGGGGAATTGTTCCAAATTATTCATCATTTTGATGGGCCTTTTATGCATCTCTTACGCATCTTCTCCCAACACTACAATGGTTTCGCGGAGACGCAGGCGATAAGAACAGTGCAGAATTCTGAGCATGTAACACTCGGTGATCACGAGCTGAAGAGCTCTTACTTGGCAGCTTTCCACAAATGTAGATTCAACATGTGTGAGGTTAGCTCTATGAGAGAGAACTGATTGATTGATTGATTATATCCCATCAAGTCCATGTTGACTGTCAGGGGCAACAGGGATAGATTTTATCCAGATCTTATGTCTAGCCTGGTCTTGCAGATCTTCCAAAAGGTTGAGAAGGATTTGCAGAATCGACTCCCGTTATCGCAACTAGGCGATCGTGCTCTTTCTCTTCCTGCTTATAATCCTGAGATTAAAATAAGGTTTTGGCTCACTGGCAACTAAGCTTGCAAACTTAACCTGGATACTTCTTATTTCTGCCGTGGGTAACTTGCCACAGTCAACTCACCACAGCCAACTCGGCATGGCGGTGTTGGCGTGGGGCAACTCACTGTGGGACAATTCAACGATTCTATTTCCTTATTTAAAATAAATAAAAAAGTATTTTAAGTTTTGCCCTTCAGATTTCATTCTGTCTCTCCTTTGGCACTCTTTATTCTGCTATTTCTTTGATATTAGTCTATGGAGGTTCTCAGTCATCCAGGTCATAGTTATCCCAAAGGTGTTTTTTTTTTTTTCACGAGGCACCTGGACTTTCTTGTTTTTCTTTGAAGATGTTTCGCTTCTCATCCGAGAAGCTTCTTCAAGCTCTGACTGGATGGTGGGGAATGAAAGGGATTTATACTCCTTGCAGACAGCTGGTCATTTGCATCCTTTCAGAGCAGACATGTCAAACTCGCGACATCACGTGACGTCACGAAACGTATCGGGACTGTTTTGCCATTGCCGGCAATGGGGTGGGCGCGGCTTCTGGATGACGCGTACGGTCCATGGGCCAGCAGTTTGACACCCCTGTTTTAGAGAGTTGTTGGGGCCACTTGGGGGGTTTATCTCTATCCTCAGTATCACCTGAGTAGTGCAGACAAACTCTGAGGACACAGACAAACCCTCCAGTGGTATCAACAACTCTCTAAAAGGATGCAAATGACCAGCTGTCTGCAAGGAGTATAAATCCTTCCATTCCCCCACCATCCAGTCAGAGCTGAAGAAGCTTCTGGGATGAGAAGCGAAACGTCTTCAAAGCAAAACAAGTAAGTCCAGTTGCCTCCTGAAAAAGCACCTTTGGGATAGCTATGACCTGGATGACTGAGAATCTCCATAGATATATTGGTAATAGTATATCTCTCCATTGTGAAAATGCCTTCCATTTACCCATAATTAACTCCAGCATTCGTTGGAGATAGACTTTTATCAAAAACCTTGGGGATGCAGAAAAACAGATCTCTGAATCTCTCAAAGAGCAATATGTTTATATTACACCCAAAGAAATGGATCCTGAAAGAAAGTGTAGGCTGTAGAAAGAATTTTAGTAAGGAATCTCACATAATCCCAAGAGCCAGCTCTAGATGACATACTAGAGTCTGTATTAGAAAACCTAAATCATATATTTCTTCCATCAGCCTTCTGCACAACCCCCTTCTTTATTATTTATTTGTTTGATTAGATTTATATGTCTTCCCGTCTCAGATGTTTGACTCTGGGTGGCTAACAATATTAAGAATAATAAAAACATAAACACATGCACATAGCAGGCAGGAATTTTTTTATATAAAACCATCAATCACTCTGCAAAAATAAGATGCAAGCTTCATCACATACCTGAGTCCCAGGCTTGAGCACAGAGCCATGCCTTCAAGGCCTTATGGAAGGCCAAGAGGGATGGGACCAAACTAATTTCCAGAAGGAGGATAGTCCAGAGATCAGCAGAAAAGGCTCTCCTTTTGGGTCGTACCAACCAATGTTTCTTAAAGGCCTTGAGTAGGTCCCTTCTGCTGGATTGGAGGGCATGGGTAGAACTAACCAGGGACAGAGGGACTCATAAGTAGTCAGACCCAAGTCACTTCTTAAGGGACAACACATCAATGGACCTTGTCACACTCTAATGCTCTCAACAGACCCATTCCCAAATTCCAATCACTCAAGACAGCTATTACTTCATTCTGGCTCCTAATAATTACTGAATAACAGATTGAGAGAATTAGAAGAGTCTTTGGAGGTCATCTAGTCCAATCACCTGCTCAAGCAGAAAACTTGAGAAATGGTTGTTTAATCTCTTCTCAAAAGTCTCCAGTGTTGGAGCACCCACAACTTCTGGAGGCGAGTTGTTCTACTGATTAATTGTTCTATCAGGAAATTTCTCCTTAGTTCTAGGTTGCTTCTCTCATTGATTAGTTTCCATCCGTTGCTTCTTGTCCTGCCTTCGGGTGCTTTGGAGAACAGCTTGACTCCCTCTTTGGGGCAGCCCCTCAGATATTGGAAGACTGCTATCATGTCACCCCAAGTCCTTCTCTTCGTTACACTAGACATACCCAATTCCTGCAACCGTTCCTCATATGTTTTAGCCTCCAGTCCCCTGATCATCTTTGTTGCTCTTCTCTGCGCTCTTTCTAGAGTCTCAACATCTTTACATCATGGTGACCAAAACTGCATGCAGTATTTCAAGTGTGGTCTTATCAAGGCATATGATATGAACCAGCTCCTAGATTTATTCCCCTATATCTATAAAAGAGAGGAGAAATTGCTTTATAAAAGAATATTTCTCTGGAAACCAAAAGCC